TATATATATATATATGTATTCATATATATATATATATATATATATGCGTGTGTGTGCGTGTGAGTGTGTGTACATTTGTAGATCCTTAATATCAGCAGATGCATTTGCCTATCATTTGATGCACATGTGTGTATACACACCAGGAAAATATATATGACTTTCAAGATATAAACTGAGAACTAAAAGCGCTACATGGGCTTGACGTGTGTGAACAAAAATACGAATTGAAGAAAAGTGCGCGTGTAAAACGTATCCTATTAAGTTGTATACTGCTAATTTCGCAAATCTAAACTGATAGACCACAAAGAAGATTGTGAGAAACGAGACGGCAACATAAAAGTAAACTACTACGTAAGAACTGCAACTCGTAGAAAGTGTTTTGTGCTGACTGAGTACAGTGCACTTACCCGACAGCGGTTTGTAATACAGAATTATCATTGACGACAATTTCAGCGGCGTAAGTCAACGACAGGCATGTCAAAGACAGCACTAACCGTGGGAACATATTTAAGAATAGCGAGCTCTGTATTTGAAGATATCCTTAACTGGTCTTTATAATGGTATGATAGGTTACTGTATATATTGGAGAGGCTTGTAAAAATATATGCTAATGAACTCACTATCACAGACTTTCTATCGTTAACAGAGAAGATGATTGAGTATACACTACATGTATGTGTGTGACGCGACGTAACGGTAGTAATTGTTTAGCACCTCCCTCCTAATTGCATGCAATAACGTCTACTACAACACGCATAGACATCTTCTACAATTGAAAGCATCTATTGGAGTATCTTCCTATGGGAATCTGGGTCAAACAGCGCTTTCAGTACTTGCGAGGTGTGACCGATTATTTTGGATTTATTTCCTGTTTTTTATATAAAAACCAAAAAAGTTATACATACATATATTTATGTATTTTTAAAAATAGCGGCTACGATGTGTTTATATATGAACTATTTACTCCATATATTCCATTTTAGAAGGCTATGCTCCATATACCTCTTGGAAACATTTTGTTTTAAAAAACGAAACTGTCTCAGTCAGTTAGGACTCTCAGATTTAAGACTCCAGAGTGGTCAGTGGTTCACCATCAATAATACCGGACTGAATTTTACAGAAATAAATCACCTTTTGTTTCTAAAAATATATAGTGTGTTTGATTTGGAAAGTAAAAGCAGTAAACACTTCATCGCTTCCAGTATAATTCTATTTTTATTTTAAAAATTTAACATAGATCAAAAAGTTCAAAATTTAACACACAAAAAAAGCAATTTGTCAAAACTAATCGAAAATTTTCAGTAAAGTAATCGCGAAATATCAATATGAGCAACCGTCAAAACGATTCACTAATAACTAAAATATTCTATTCTATGACCAATCAATAACAGTATGTTAAAATGCGGTAGCAAATGCATTGTGGACCTAATCTCATTACGTTATGGGGATACAGAATAGAAGTTGAACGTAAACGCATGTTTATTAAATTTTGAAATGTGATCAGAAGGGCCTATCTATTTTTAAGTTCTTTTTATAGGACTGGTTCGTGTGGTTAATCGTTACACAACTAAATTTTTAGACCCGAAAGGTGCACTTATATGCCTACAAAGGACCGATGAAGAATAAAAGTATGTAGAACGTAAACGTATATTTATTCGATTTGTAAACGTTTTAACGGAAAACGGTTAGCTGTTTTATTTCGTGGAGTGATGAGACTCATGAGAGTGGAGTGTGGACTAAAAACCGAACTGTATTTTAAAATTTTGAAGATATCCTGCTGACAATCTGGAGCCAAGGAGTCAGGACTCAGGAGACCTGGAGTCTTGGACTGACTGGATTCTGGAACTTTTCATGAGGCCAAGAGGTGGCACTGCCGGTACGGCGGTAGGAGGGCCCAATGTTTTACTGTTTATATGACTGTTTTCCATTTATATTTGGTTTTAGGGTTTTAGGGTTTCGCCACTATTCCTAACATTTACAACGCTACCCTAAAAGCCGCCCATTGGCCCTGACCTCCTTCAGCAATTACAGGAGTGCCACGACTTCCACGGTATCTGGACCCTCCACGAACACCTTGGATCTTTTCTCCAGCGTGTTGAAGAACCACCGTACCCTCACCCGTACCTGACACATCAACAGATGTTCCCTATACCCCGGCTAATCACGCTGTTGAAGTACTACTTCCAAATATCGGTTCAAACCAAATCATCGCGCTTGTTGGTTCCGAATATGATACTTCCGATCCAGGCCAGCCAACACATACCGAATTCATCCGTGGTCTGGTGCGGCATTGGCTTACCCCCATCCTCGCTTCTCGACCGGAATATGACGGATAACCTGGTCCTTCTCGGTATTTCGTACTCTTCACTGACCCTTTCCGCGGCACTACACGGCGCAGACCCGATCCGTACCACAGAGGCGGGTACTCTACTTAGTAGGTCAACAAGAAAATATATGGAACATTCGATAGCAACAGTGTTTTGTCAACACCGGCCCGAATTGACTCAGCACAAATCTTTCATTGTCGACCCACTTGGCCCAAGCTTCAAACGGAAATTTACTGACCAATTCTTCCCATCGATCTTTCCTGAACCACTACAGCGACTATGAGAGCCATACTATATGTTCATACATTGTATCATACATACTTGCCATTTTTGAAATAAATAATATTATCCCTATGCCTAAAAGTAAGATAAAACTAACATTCTCGCGCACCGCCGTTTTGCCTAGCATTCTCGTACACTGCCAACTATGCCTACCATTCTTGTACACCGCCAATTATGCCTACCATTCTCGCACACCGCCAATTATGCCTACCATTCTCGTACACCTCCGACAATAAACATCACAACTGTTTTAAAATTAATTACACGTGATGTTATTATTCCTAACGGGCATACATCACATACTGCCATACCAACATGTGTCACATGGACAACAGGTAACACATAATGCCATACCAATATATGCCACATATATCACATATATCACATTATAATATTATTTTATCAATTGCATGAATATAGTTGAATTGTCTATTAATTAGCACATGCAACAGTTAATCGTTTATATTCGAGTCGTGAAAACTAGCATACTTGAAGTTGTTACTACATTTAGTAAGCAGGCTACACCAGCTACTTTACCAAAAAAAAAGATAATGGAACAACTATCAATGTTGATACACCATTCAGAGTACCCCCGCGTCATTCAGCAAAGTCAAAGAATAAATATTACACAATATATGCAGAACCTAGAGACGAGAAAGACAATAATAGAGAAGATGGTAACCGGGAGCAACCGTTGAACGACAAGGATCATAGAGAACTAAGAAATGGTCTTGATCTTGGACGTGATGATGAGGGCGATACACCTAAAGAGAGAGAAAATTTGCTATGATATTCTATAAATTGCTAATAAAGAATTAGCTCTAATAAAAATCGCTATTTATCCCTAATAAATAGTGTTATCCCTAATAGTGTTAATAATGTTAACAATTCTAATAGTGTTAATAGTGTTAACAATTCTAATAGTGTTAATGTAAACTTCGATGGATATTTGTATGTTTCAAACTATGTTATATAAACTAAAATACAATTTAAGTCAGTTAGGATTTAGCAGTGGTAGCTTGTGTAAGAATGATCCGGACTGCCTCTTGGTAAGAGCCTTAATATCCTCGATCACACAGGACGTACCTCTAGTTGTTCTTTATTGAATAATTTTCACTAGAAGTACTAACTGTTCATGACCACATGTCTAATTTATAGATAGACATAAGTGTAAGATTCGTTCTATCAAGGCGATATTAACACTTTAGAGTAATTAAAAGCTTAGGTTAAGTCTAAGTATCGTGAAATTCGAAGTAAACAAATGAAATGAGTCTTTTGGTAAAGTTAGGTATGCCTCGTGAAAACAGCAATACTCTGAGGGATTGTGAGGCTGAGACATTGCCTATATATAATCCTCTCAGTACTGTTTTCGCCGAAAGGATTATATTTAGTGATTCGTTGTCGCTCTATTAGAAACTAGGGTATGTTTCGTTGGGGCGAATCCGAGAGACTCATAAAATCCTATCTTTAGAAGAAGAAAAAAAATGAAAAATACTCTTGATGTCCTTAGTTATTGCATTAACCAATAACTTGCCACTTATCAAGAATTACCGACTTAGCCTTCATCAGACTGGCACATCTGGTTGGCTGATCGGAGGATCAATAACGTTAATAGTCCCTAGAAACCTATATTCGGTTGAGCCATCTCGCTACCGAAGTATTCAGATATAAATAAAGTTGGAAAGTAAATATAGTTCTATTAATAGAACTAGACCAACTTTTATGTTTGGTATTTTACTGGGGCCTTTTAATGGCCTCGTCCAAATATCTGATATGTAAAATGGAAAAGGAATTAATTAATAAAACCGTTAAAAAGCATTTAGGAAACTTAAGTTCATCGCACTATTAAGAGTACGTTTATAGTTTACGTACTGCCTATGAGTACGTTTATAACGTAGAGTCTAATGTGGAGGCCCGGCTACTACACAGCCCCCACCCATTTTTGAGACCAAGGAGAAGCAAGTTTCTTACTTAAGCTGATTATGGGTCAAAAAGCGAGAAAGGAAAAACGGGTCGAAAACATTGAGTAGCATAAAGTATAGTTAATGTTTCTCAGGCGGAGAAGTTAAGTGCTCTCGGCTAACCTGTGATTTTTGGGCTTAGGTCTAGTAGGTCCGCGGTGGCCGACTGAACATTTCTTACTCTTCAGTGTCTTAACCACATATGAAGGATGAGCATTAAGGCTCTGGACAAATGCTGTAGGCGGATAAGTTTTGACTTCCGTTCCTTCAGACGATGGAAACATGCTATCTTTTTCAGCTTGTGACTTATGCAGGCGTTTACGCTTAAAGGCTTTTAAATAGTCTTGGTTATCGAAAGCATCTGAAGTCAACTCAGCTATTGTACCGTCTACAAAGCGTGTACGATAGTATGTATAGTCACCCTTATCCGTTCTCCATATAATGTCTCTAAATTCAGAACGATCAAGAGGGGCATTAGAGTCATGTCTTCTTGCGAGTATAATCTCTGTAGTCGGAATACGACTTGTGCCTATATTAAGCGCACTAGAACCATCTGGGTTATTTACCTCGTACGTTCCGCTTTTAGTGTCTGCTACAGAGATTATGTATGGACCTGTCCATTTAGATGTTAATACAGTAGCATCGGAATTACGTTGACGGATGTTAACTTTGTCACCAACCTGATACTCTGCTATCTTCTTGGTAGTGTTCCAACGCTTTTACCTTTTAAATAAGGCTATATTGCGTGTTTCTCGCAAGCAAGAATATACAACGTTATAAATACGTTGGACCTTCTCTAACCATGGTAACCCATGGTGATCGGGTTCGTCCTTTTTAAAAGAGATTTGTAACTCACTATATCTGCCACGAAAATAGTGAGCGGGTGTAGTTCCTGTAACCGGATCAGCACACTCGTTCATCTGTGTTTTCATCCGTTAATGCAGTACGCAAGAGGAACTTAAGTCTTCTATGGTGCGTTTCATTCGCGGCTTGCGTTTGCGGCTTATATGGCACACCTCTCTTATGGCATATGCCTGATACGAGTACTAGCGATTCCATAACGTCATCGCAGAACTCACTACCGTTATCAGTGCACATAATACCCGGCCACCCGTGGTCAGCAAAGACTTGGCAACATAATTCTGCCACGGTCTGCGTATTCTTATCCTTTAATGGATAGAGCAAGTTAAACCGTGACGCCACATCAAAGAAGTGGCATACGTAACGGTCGCCTGTGTGCTCGGACGTGGGCAGGTCATTTACATCAATGATGACCCTGCGCCATGGAACATCTTCAGTCACGCTCTTAAGCGATGCGAAACCATAGCGCTTGATCTGATTGAGATCACAGTCTGTGCATGACTGATATACTCTGTCAACTAAAGTTGCCAGCTTAGGGTGCGCGATCCCACGTCGTTTAGCATCTTTGAGTGCTTCTACTACGTTCTGGTGCTTCAGCTTATGATGTTGCTTCAGCCAAGCAAGAATGTTTTCATCATTCTGCTCTTCCAGAATAAAGGTAGGGTGTTGAGAATCCACTTGCGTGGTCTCTAAGTCTGGAGTGTTTTCAGACTCCTGTCCTGTTTTTACATGAGCGTCATAATCGCGCTCATGTGCGTTAGATACACCTGACTTATTAAATAGTCGCATTATATGTGTATACGCTTCAGGATTGTCTTTCATTAATCCCTTTAAAAATAAGGTTTGAAAGACCTCGTGCTTGGACTTTATGTTATTAAACAGAGTCCTAGCTAGAGACTGACGCTTC